GAAATCAACCGACTAGACAATACATTTAATGTGAGGAATACTGGTAAGAAGTTAATTGAAAGCTACTTATCCTTAACTAATAGACTCAAGGATAGAGTGTGTTTAGCTGCCTCCAGATTGGAGACGACTTAACTAGTCTTTTCTTGTCTTGGTCCTAATCTCAGTCACTTTTCTGTACCTTTATTCCACTCTCTCTATTTCACATAAAGACAAAACGTTTATCAATATAATCAGACTTGTGCCCGACTTGGCCAAATCGGAGTGATGGTTAAAATATATAGAGAGAAGGGCTAATGGTAGTGATCAAAGCTTGATGGCCAAGAGCGGATGTTTCTTTTTCTGTTCTATTTACCTTGAATCGTAACTGCTGGGTTCGTAGATATACAAACACTTGTAGGCACATACATAATATGAGATGTATTCACCCTATTTCGTTTAAGGTGATGAAGGAAGGGTAGTAGAATTTTCTTTTGAAGTCTGTCGAAGTGCGGATTTGGAAAGGCAAATGTTACTTTCAAAATCAAACATATTTAATAATATAAATCAAGAGTAAGGTAGAGGTTATTATATGTTTGGAAAAAAATACACAGATAAGACTGTTTTACAGACGACTTTTACATTAATTGCTTAAGAGTAAGTGCAAATTACCAATAATAAAGAATTGAATGGGTGCAATCGCACACAAAAGAAATAAAAATAAATGAAAAAGACTGGGTTTTGAAGTAATTATGAGTGATCAATTGTGAAATGATTCTCCACTTCGAAGTTAAGGTTGGTGGGCAGAAACTCATAAAATGGTCTCTTCCGAAATCGAAGTGAGATTGCCGCAGATTAAAAAATCTTGTACAGAGCGAAGAAGTCCTCGGCTAATCGTCCGTCGAGCCCGATGAATCTGTGTTAAGCTTGCGTCTATGCTGTGACAGACATCATCGGAGCAAAAATTCATTTTCTACGAAATAGGTGAAAATTATACTAAACCAAGAAAAAATATGGCCGGCTGCATCCCTAATCACGTTTTATACACCTATTCCTGAAATCTTAAGGAAAAATCACATGATTTGGTTGGCTTCCTAAAACTTACTCTATATGCTTGTAGATGAATTAAATTAAATCAAGAAATGGAAGTGGATTCGGTAGCGGCTGTTTCCTAGCGTAAATCAACTTTCGTACTATCCTCTAGTGTTGACCCACGTTTGGGTATATGCTATTGTCTATTGTGTGATAGTCATAGCCAGCCCCGAGTCTTATCCAGCATCATTCTCTTGCTCAGTGGCTCTTCCTGCTCCCCCTCTCTATCTCTCTTTAAGCCTATCCAACGGCCACAAAATTTACCTAATTAATTTTCTACACTCGTTTCTTATTCAGTATGTTGGCTGTTATGTTCATTTATATAGACTCCCTAATCTTACTCTTTGATGTGAAGTCTCTTTAGTGAGCAAAATGCTGTGTTTTGGACAGGTCTATTGAATGTCCTGTATTAGACCTGTGTTCTGCGAACTCAGATGTTTAGGCACACAAAACTCTTTAAGTCGCTTTGCGTTCACATAATCTCTCATAGATAGGTCGGTGGGTTTCCCCGCTATAGACATTACAACATATGTACCACACTTTATAGCAGCTCGACTTGGAAAGAGGGTCCAAAAATTTTTTTAATACTTTGTTCTGATGCTCTAATTCCTCAATAGATCACCCAACTCTTGCGCAAGCCTACAGGAAGGCAAAATTAGGAACCGAATAGGATTATCCATCCGTCTATCCCGCCTTAGATAACAATCTTCTATCATCTTGTTACTGATAATTGAAATGAAATTATCCTCTGACCCTAGGAGTGCCTTTTGAAGCCAACAAACTTATAATTGGCCCAAGAACTAACTATAAAAATAGGGGCTAAGCAAGATCTCATAGGCAAGCCCGTGTTCCTTCATACAACTTACCATTAAAAGTAAAATATAAACTAATCATGGCAACAGTGAATATTCCATTAAATTAATCTAACTCTAAATTATCAATTCTTAATATCTCCGGATCTTTATCTAAAGTTGATTCTTATGTCATCATAGTCACCACCTAATTATGAAACTTGTAATTCAATGTCTCTCTTTGTATTCTCAAAAATAATTTCTCTTAAACCTTTCAATTCTAGCAAGATTTCTTAGTTGGCATACCCCTTATTTGTAAATGCAATATTCAATTCCTTATATCGTAAATGTCCAATGAGGTTTTTTTTACATATTTACCACTTTTTCAAATTGGATTTTCCTCCATTTCACTTCATTTTAAATCAATGGTTTCTTTGAGCTAATTCTTGTGCCTAAATTTCTGAACTTTTAATCATATTTCTTTCTTAGTTGCCGTTATTCTTGCAGGCTTAAAGAAGTCTTCCGAAGTAATAGCTAACTACAAGATTTATCTGAATCTGGTCTTAATTCAAATCAATGATTGTAGTTTTGCCAGTTTTTCCTTTACGCTAATATCAACAAAATCATTATATTCACCCTAAAAATCAGTCTTAAGCTTGAGGGTAAGTTTCGTCTAGAGACAATTTTACGTGAAGAGCTCTTAAATGAACGAATCATTGTAAAGAAGAGTTTCAAATGTGGATCCTAACCGAAGACGACAAGTTTCCTCTTGTCCAGTTATCCCATGCCTTATACAGTATGCTTGAAGCTGTTTTCGATGAAATCGTTTTGGGAAGAACTGTGTATATTCAAGTTCTTTTACTATGCGGTGATAAGAATGTCAAGGCTTACTGATGATGCCGAATACGATGCCTGCGAAACGTCTGGGAATGTACCAAGTCGACAGTCCGGCTCTGTACAGTATCATTCATGCTATGGACTCCGGGCAAGTTGCGTTACTTTAGTTCTTCTTGTCAATATGACTAAGTTGCGAAAACAAGGTCAAGCACCTTCGGTGTAAATTCAATTTCGTCTAAGGTGATGTAATTGAATTTTCCTATAACTTTGTGAGTAGGTCCCACATTACCAGTAGATTTCACTCAGACTTGTTTCTAAATGGTAGTCTCATCTAGACAGGAGTGGACATAATATAGGTCTCATCAACACCTGAGGAGTTCTCCGAACTCAGGTAATGCAACGTATAGCACCGACAAGTTAACCAATACACCAAACTGACACGAGGGCCCTTGGTACAAAGGGAAAAATTGAATTTAAAGAAAGCTCAGGGATTTCCTATATTACTTTCTGTACTAGGATCGTTGATGAGGCAATGATGTGGACAACCAGGTTTTTTTTGTCCAATTCCAGGTTTAAG